GATGCACTGTTGTTACAAATTTTCTCAAGCATCTCTTTGCCTGTTTCAGGATCAAGCTCCATGAAAGCTCCATTAGCAGAGGCATCCACAACAATTTTGGAATTATCATGTAATCCTTCATAAAATGAGACAATGAGATCACCCATGCTCATATTATGATGTGGATATTGAACTTGAAGGTTTTTAAATCTCTTCCATGATTCGTAAAGAGATTCTGATGGATGTTGCCTGAATTGCTGGATAAGTTTCTTCATTTTTTATGCCTTGGAAGGAGGATAGAACTCCTTCATGAATTCGCAATGCAACTTCTCCCATGTGTTGAAATAACCGGATGGTTTAGAGTTCAACCAACTCAATGCTTCATCCCTCAGTGAGAATGGGAACAATCTGAGTCTGATAACATCAACAGAGGCTCCATTAAGTTTAAGAGTTTGGAGAACTCTCAAGAATTGTTTCACATGGCTCGTCGGATCTTCACTCTTTGATCCGCCAAATTTGTTGGCTGAGACCAATGAGATAAGTGCTGGTTTGATCTCAAAATTTGCTGCATCCACACCTGGATAGAGAATACTGTCTTGTTCCTCAATTTCACCTGCAACATAATCAAGAAGTCTTCTCCCTTGCTGTTGTCTCATGAATTGCCCTTGATCTTGTTGATTATGTGGGTGTTGGTAGTATTGGCCATATGGGTGAGGTTGGTATGGGTGCATAAATGGAGGAGGTGGGTAAGGATATGGGTAAGTGTATGGATATGGAGGAGGAGGTTGGTTTTGGTGAATTTGGTAGGGATGTGGTGGATAAATTTGGGGTTGTGTTTGGGGAGGAATTTGTTGGAAATTTTCAAATCCTGGTGGTCTTTGATCTCCAAAGAAAGGATTATGTCTATCTCTGGGAGTATCAACGGGTGTATTTTGACGTGGCGTAGGATTTGGATTTGGAATTAGGTTTTGGTCATTTGGATTATTGGGATTGTTTTGAAAATCCTCCATGATCAGATCTGGAATTTTAAGTTCAAGGGTTCGTGCTTTTCTTCTTTTCCTTAATTCTTTTTCAAAATCAAGGTTAGGTGGTTGCAATCCTTCACTCCCTTGAGAGCGAGTATGCATACACCTTTTTAAGAGTTTTTTTTTAGTGCACGAGAAATGATTTTCTTTTTGTTTTTTTTACGAAAATGATGAGAACAAGTAAAAAAAATACTTAGTCTCCAGATAAATAATAACAAACACTAATATTAACTAATAATCAATCAATAACACTATGCCATTCCCCGGCAACGGCGCCAAAATCGTGACATGCCAAAATGTGTAGTGTGAAATGGTGTAAAAATGTGAATGGAAATGATGTTTTAATTGGCTTGTAACGATATAGTATAGAGTAAGTGAGTATCGTTCCGCTAGAGAATGGCTCAAAAAGAGAACTAGAATTAACGATTGATTTTTAGCTAATCACAAATTAATAACATTTTGCAATGGAGCTAAGTGAATAGATTTTTTTTAACTTGTTTTTGTTAAAGCGAAATTGCTAGAGAGTAAAATAAATCACAATACTTGGTAATTTAACGATTAATGATATAGAGAAAATTAGGCTTGGGCTAAGAGTAATTTTATTTTGATGTTCATAATAATAAAGATTTAACTAATTAACTTAGTTATTTTAGATGTGTGAAAGATTTACAAATGATAATCTTCTAATCGTTCCCACGACTTAGTTGATTACACTATCTTAAATTAATTCCGCTCCCGCAGTAATTTTATTAAGACGGTAAAAAGTACAAAATAAAATTATCCTAAATTCCTTAACACTTCCGTGTAGCAATTTAGTGGGTGAATTAATAAAAAGTATTTTAATGAAATTTCACTCCCGTGATAATATTCATTTCCCAATATAATGTATTTAGCAGATTAGAATATTCAACCCAGCACTCCTAAAATTAACCAATTAATAGTTTTAACCAATTATTATCATATGAACATTAATAGTAAAAATTACATCTTGCCCAAGCCTAAACTTAATTTAGTTACACATAATTACGGTAATTAAAATAAAAGCAAAATTCATGAAAGACATAATAAATTTAACAGATTAAGGAAATTAAAGTGAGTGTTTAAGTAAGAACTTGAAGGCATAAAATAATGAAGAACATAGATGGGCTGGAATAGAAAAGTTGAAATCCTTGTATTAAGCTGGAACTGATTGAACGAACTGATAAACCCAAATGAACTTCAATACCAAATATCACAAGCTAAAATTCTGGAACTGAGAATTATAAACTGAAATCTATACAGAAAGTGTTCTTGGCAGAATCACTTTTATTATATGGCTACTAATACTTCGTATAAACTAAAGAAAAGAGAATTGAAGAATGATTTCTATCAGAACTTGGTGTCTTTTGCAGCTCCTGGATGGCCCTTTAAATAGCAGTGGAAGAAGGGGTTAGAGCATCAAAACTCCTAAAATGAAGGTGCTGAAAATAAATTTTGGTTGGCTTTCACTTCCATCTTCATGAGATTTGATTGCCACCTTCTTGATTTCTTTCTGCAAATAGTATCAATCAATTGTGCATTTTTTTCTTCGTTTGCTACTGTTCTGGATCTTTTTGATTGCAGAGTGAAAGATGATGAAGACAATTGCAGTAGCTCGCCGGTCTCTTCAAGCTCCATCAATAATTCATTACAATGTCCTTTGTATTTCTTCTTTGGAGTTTTTTTTTGTTTCTACGGTGGAGCTTCGTACGTACATAATGAGTCATGAGTGGATAAAATGTAATCACCCACTCAGTCAATCAGCCAGACTTTGGCTCTTTTCGGCCATTTGTTGTTTTGACCGGTTGACTGTTTGATCATTTAACTGGTCAGCAGTTAACTGGTACATTTTATTGCAGACAGTCTGATTTATTCTGAAGTGTATTTTGAGTCTTTTGATAAATTATTTCAGAGGTAAATAAGGACCCGCTTCATTTTGATGATTTTTCCATCTTTACTCGGGAGTAATATTTATTTCTTTTCAGAAATTAATTTACAACCCGAATTGCCCTGAAATTGACAAAATATACCAAAACAAGTGCAATACCTTAAAATGTCCAAGATGATAAAAATCAATCCTTTTTATATAAAAATGAGAAATAAAATATTAAAAGTGTGACAAAACAAGATCATAAATATGGTAAATTAGGAGTACATCAATACTTGTAGTTTCATATGCAAGGATTGTTTGTGGGATCAGATTTGAGTACATGCAGCATGTTAATGACATAAAATGACAGTTACATTACATTTTTTTAGATACCCAAATGACATCAACAATGAACAATGTCAATTACGCATATACAATAGGACATCACAATATTGACATGCCATTGTGGGCAATGGAAATGGCTAAATTTATTACACTGACATCAAATGTCAAATACATCATTGAATTCTATCAATAACAAACTGTCATCAATTGTGAACAGAAATTGCCATCAAATCTGACATATGTCAGTTACGAGTAAACAAAATGCCAAAACACAAGGCCTGAAAACTAAATGGCAGAACATTTAAACAAATGATAACTGCATCCAAACTACATAATAGAATTCTTAAAAGTACTTTATAAAAATAAAAGACAAAATACAATGAATTAGTCATGGGTATCACTGGGTATTGATTGGAATGGGATTCCTACAAGTTTTCTTATTATGGCCAAGCACATGGCATCTAGAACATTTTTGTCTTTTTGAACCTCTATATTCTCCAATGGATGGAATCCTGGATTTCTTCGGGCGACCAGGAGGACGCTTCATACAAGTTGGTGGCTTGCATAGTTGGTTTTGAATAGTAGCACGAACAGACCAACTGTCACGATCAACAATTGGATGCATAATACCAGACCATGTAGCAAGCCAAGCATCTCTAGTATAAAAAGGAGAAATGTAAGTATAACATGACATATGTGGGTGTATAGCAATTGCAGCAATTGCATGGACACAAACAAAGTGATCTAGTTGAAAGTGGCCACAAGTACAACTTCTAGAGTTGAGATTGACCACAAAGGACGTGCATCTGCTATCAACAACTTCAAATTCATATGAACATGATGGTTTCACCTAGGAAATGGCCAAAATATGAATATCAAATTAGAATAAAAATGAAGTACCTAAACAATATACTAACACAAGAACAAAACTGACAGATTTGCAGAATCAAAATGACATAGTGATAAACAAAGTGACATTATATAACCAGATAAAAAACTGAGAACTGACTTATGGTTAAAAATCAGCTTTGACATACCTTCATACGTGTAGCTTCAGCTTGCAAAGCTACAAGACGTTTCTCACATTTCCGTGTGAGTATAGTACTTGTTTTCTCAGCTTTATCTTTCCTCTCTGTGAACCATTGTTGCATCCTTTCACGCAAAAAATCAACAAGTTTAGAGACTGAATACTCTCTTGCACATACATTGACTTTGTTCATAGACTCAGCACAATTGGAGGTCATACTATTATATCTCTTTAGTCCAGAAATTACTTTTGACCATGTGTTAGCACATATTTTGTCTAGCCACGTCCTTATCCTGGAGTTTTCAGAATCCAACATGGATAAGTAGTCATCATATTCTTTAACAGTTGCTGCCATATAGGCAGCTTTGAACTTCCATCCCAAAGTAGCTGCAGATCCTCTAAATTTGTGTGTCATGTTACGACGCAGATGAGCAACACAAAAACCATGGCTAGCATTTGACAAGATTTCAGAAACAGCCTTTATAAGACCTCTATGCCTATCAGATACTACATAAAGGTCATGTCTGTACTGTATTGACCGACAGACTTTGGATAAAAACCATTTCCAAGAAGATTTTGTTTCAGACTCACAAATACCAAATGCAATAGGAACTATGTGATCATTGGCATCTTGACAACAAGCTGTAACAAGAGTGCCTTTATAGTAAGCCTTGAGGAATGAACCATCTAGTATAAGAACAGGTCTACAGTAAGGCCAAGCTTCTATCCATGCTCTGAATGACATAAAAAAGGTACAAAATGCATCATCCTTCCCTGTGACTAGATCAAACATAGAGTCAGGATTCGCCTTCTCAAGCACATAAGCCATAGAAGGCAAAACCTGATAGGATTCAAGATCAGAACCAAATTGCAGCTGCATTGCTTTCTTCTGTGCTTTCCAAGATTTTTTGTATGACATGGAAATTCCATACTGCATACTCATGTCTTCACGAATTTGTTTTGGTGGGTACGGTTTATTGGAAGCATCAAGGTATTTGTGTGCAATAAGTTTTGCTATCACAGTAGCAGTTGCCTGTCTATGTTTGCCTTGTCTATAATCAATAGAGCATGTGTGTTCTGGACAGAATCTAAAATGACAAAACAATGACATTTTTATACAAGTGAGTAATATACATTTGGCATTCTTGGCCAAGAATGTAACCAATACATGGCATTCTGATAAACAAGAATTAACAATGAAGTCAAACAAAAAGAATGAAATAAGAAGTTACCTTCTGATTTGAAACATTTGTACGCCACGTAGTCTTACAGCTCGAACAGTCCAACGACATTTAGGATCTAAGAAAATAACATGTAAAGATACTTTCTTAGAGGTCTTTGTTCTGTATTGAAAGTGGTTTGTGATAGCATACATCTTCAGATGGTGGATAAGGTCTGTTTTACTTTTGTAAATAGCATATAGAACAAGACAAGTAGGATGGGACTGTGTGATGACTTCAAAATTGTGGAGAAATGACAGTGACTGAGATGATTCTATTACTAAGCCATCTGACATGTCATCCATGCCTTCATCACTGTCTTCAGATGTTTCAAATTCTACAGCTCTAGACACAGTGTTACTACAAGAAGCACCATCTTGAGAGTGTCTACCAAAGATGTTAACATTTTCAGTGCAAAAAGATGAGCTATGATCAAAAGAGAGTGCAGGTGAGAAGGCATGTTGTTGGGAAGAAACAACAACATTCTCATCAACAGAAAGTGAATGAGTTGAAGAAATGACAACATTTTTAGCTGAAGGAAAAGCAGAAGGTTCAACACCAACAAAAGATGGATATGAAGAAGAGATAGGATAAAACTCAACACAAAGTGGATACTTTAGAAAATCTGGTTGAAGAGACTTGATATAAAGATAAAATGTTAAGGTAGATTGATCATTTATAGTTACAGGAGGAGGGAATCCATCTCGCATATAAGAAAGCCTGAAATTATGATTAGGTTTGTACTGAGAAAGGATGGCAGTCAACATATCAACAAAACAAGCATATTGAACACCATAGTTAACATGAAGCCCACATGTGTCCACATTGGTGAACACATAGTCAGAATCCCAAAAACCATCCACCTTGACCATAACAAGTAAAACAGGATCCATTGTGCAAAAAGGTTCCTAAAAAATTGAAGGAAAAACAAATATTTGAGTATAACAGAAGCATGAAAGAAGAAAGTTGGTTATACTAAAATGACAGTTTGCGTGAATATGTGACAGTCTATAAGGATGTATAAATAATATTTACCACACAAAATGGCAAATCAGCAAACAATACAAAATGACAGTTAGAAATACAAAAGAGCCAGTTATGAAGAACCTAATCTAGTACTTACAGCAAGACACAATTTAAACACCAACATTAAACGCAGAAATAGCAACATACGAAGAAATTTCATGAAATAAAAGCATTGATAGAGTTGATGAAAAGCAAACGAGCTAAATTATTAACAATAATGAATTTGAAATCGATTATAAAAACTTTGAATTTTTTTGCTAGTATTGTAGAAGCAAAATACAGAGGAATAAAACAGATTGATGATTGCAGAACGACATGTGTACAACAGACAAATTGACATACTCTAGAAGCAAAATGAGAGCAATTGCAACATAAATTTAACCATGATTGGTGAAGAAGGACGATACAGGAAAGTTTCGGTGAACATACTCTGCAAACGAACGAACAATGGCGGAAGAAGATGAATGCAGAGGAGAAGGACGAACAACTCTAACAAATCCAACTGTAGCAATGATTGACGAAGAAGAAGAATATCGCGAAAAAAAAACAGAGTACGTCAACTGAATTCCCAACTGATTTAGGAAACTAATTTTCTGGAAAGAATCTCGATCAAAGAGGGAAACTAACGGAAACTCATAAATGCTTTCACACATCGATTACCGAAAATAGCCGGTAACACCTGCGGCTTAATGGCAAACATAGGCAGGGGTATTTTGGATATTGCCTAAAGCGTTAAATATACCTATAGAACCGTATAACTCCTATTAGGGGAATAAAACATAGTAAGTCCTATTATGGCTTTTTAAGTAAGTTTTAGTCTATTATGGACAATTTTTTCATATATATATACCTGCACATATATACATAATACGGAGTACATTTAATACTCTGTATAGCAAGGGAATGAACGAACCCCTAACTGGCCAAGTCATCCGTCACCCAAACTTCTTGCATGCGTCACCAGGAGGAGGAGAAATTTAAGTTGCTACCACCGGACTGTACCACTGCCACTGAACTCCGCCCAACACCGGAGAAACGGAAGCAAGCACCGGGTCGGAGAAGCCACGCACCGTGTCATCTAGGAGGGAAGCTTCAGACCGGCCAACGTCGTCGGCAGAGAAGAGCCGCTACTTCATGTCGCTGGACGGACTGTCCCCTTCGTTATCAGCGTCGCCGGAGGAAGATTAGCACGTTGTACTTCCGCTGCAGAAAGAGGAGAAGCCGGTGACAGAAGATTGAGCAAGGTGCTGCGTCCGCACCGGAGAAAAAGAAGTCACCGAACCAGGTCGTCTCCGTGACGTCGTCGCTCGCCTGGAAACACCACCACCACCACCGTCGGAGAAGAAGACCCAGTTGTACGCCGGGATTTTTCACGTCGGAGGAAGAGGAGAGGCTGGAGTTCTGCCACCGGACCTGACTGCATGCTGCCACTGAATGTCGCAGCAACCCACTGACCCGGTCACCGTAGGAGGAGCTCGCCGGAGAGTTTTTCAGTTTCCGTCTCTGCGCGCCGGAGGAGACCAGTCCATCGAACCACCTGCTGCCGCCGTCAGGAAGAACCCCTGAGGATCTCACCGCTGCACTGGTTCGTTGGTTACGCCGGAGAAGACGACCAACTGGTTCATTGGTTCATTCGTTGGTATGTCTATCTTACTCCGTGTGTTAATATACTGGGCTGGACTGTTGAACTTTAGGTTGGGCCACTAGTTATTAGTAATAACAATAATAATACACCGGGCTAAAAATATTACTACTGCACTGTTTCTAAATATAGTTATGGACTGTTTAGTTTAGATTGGATCGAATATGCGAGCTGGCCGAATAAGATGACCATCATAAATAAAATCTGATGGAAATTAATACAAGAATAATAATACTCCATAATAAATTGGCTTGGTTGATTAGGTTGCTTAAAGATTGAGTGAATCTGGCTAAGATGGTTCCCTGATCTACATATTAATATTGAACTAAAATCAGTATTTATCCTTTTATTTTAACACTCAGAATAATTGTATAAACTTTATTCGGTGAAGTAAACAAACTAGTTTACTTCATAAAAAGGGTTATCTTAACTAGAAAATGGATTAAATTACTAATTAGTGATAATCGAGGTATAACCAATTAATCCCAGTGTTGATAAAAATTGAGTAAAATATAAGAATGAGATTAAGTTCTAATTCTAGAATTTTAATATTCTAGAAGGTGAATTTGGAGACAATCAAAGCTTCGGTTAGGATTTACCGCAATTTGAGGTAAGTACAATGTCAACCAAATATCATGCTTTTCCCATATAAATTTATTTGTGACTAGTTATTTGAGATCATTTGAGTATATGATAGTTAATGAGATTTTACGTAGCAATTGTGATTGTGAATTATATATATTTGAGATTTGAGTATTTTATATTGGGTGATATTTTGAGCATTTGAATTTACATATGAATTGTTCTTGGATTGAGAATTGAGATTTGAGCTATTTATGAAGTGTCCTATATTTTGGATTATTTATGGTATATCTGAGTATGATGAGTTGGAGTTAATAATTTCATTGTGAATAATTTTGTGGAGTTCGGATTTCATATCCATTTTGATTGAGGTTATGATACTTGAACTTTGAGATTGAATTATGATTTTGTGAGTACTCGGAAAAATGTGGATTTGGTGAGTGGTAATGACTATAAGTCTAATTCCACCAGGGATCTCCCAAAAGTGGAGCATCCCAGCTTAATTGTAGTAGTCGGTAGAAAAATCCCGACTACTCGGACTTTTCACTACCCGGAGGGCTTGAAATCCCTTTTAGGGGGTGTGCACACTTAAGGTAGAAGTTCGGTTTCCATTGGCTTTGATTGAGTTTGAATGATTGGATTATATTTGGATTAATTGGACTTGGATTCCATTGGTATTGAGATGAATTGGTTTTTGAGGCTTTGAGGTGAATTTCATTAGACTTGAGGTGATTTGGATTATTTGATAAGACTTGATTGGTCTTGAGGTGAATTGGATTTGATTGGATTTGAGATTATATTGAGTTTGAGGTGGATTGAATTGGAATTGAATTTGAGATTTATTGAATCATTATATTAATTGTGAATGTTTAAAGTACAAATACTTGTGATATTGGTTTGGAAAACATATTTGCGAATATTGGTTATGAGTTGTGGAAGGATTTTGATAAAGTGTTTATGTAAGTTTTGAGATGAAATTTGAAGTTTTTACGTATGATTTATGTTTTAGAATATTTATGAGGATTTTGGATAAATTATGTATAGATAGTATTTCGTAATTATTATGTTGGAAATATTAATCTATATTTGAAATATTGTTATTTTTACTTACGATTGATATGGAGTGTCTTCAAAGGTATCCTCCCAAAGGTTTTATAAAAATGTATATATGTATCAAACCTGATTATTTTACAGGGTTGGGTGGGCCTTACTTAGCATTTCCAGCTAATTTTTGTTTCTTCGTGTTTTCTTTCTGTACTTTATTTGTGCAGGAATTGAGGATCATGTTGATGTTGATTTCAAGAGCTTCCGCTAGAACGTAACACATAGACTAAAATTTACTGAGTAATTTATTTTAGTCTTAATTTTAAAGAATTGTAGTTGAACTATTAATTATGGAAAATTTTAATTATTGGTGGTGGATAGCCTGTGCACTCGGTGATGTGAGAACCGAGTGTGGCGGTAACACTCCTGTTTCCCTTTGAATTTTCCGCTGCACAACTCTGATGTTTTCAAATAAATCATTATTTAAATGTATTTTTGGGTGCGAAATTTGTGGGTGTTACATATTGTTATGGTATGAATTTCTAATCATTATTGTTATGTAATGTTTATTCATAATGTGATTGCATGAAATGTTTTTATAGGGTTCAATTATTATAAAAAATTTAAATGAATTTTTATTAAAAAGTTCAAATCTTAAACTTTTATCTTGAAATTTTTATCTTGAAATTTTTTGAATTCAAATTTTTAATTTTTTAAAAAAATATAAAAAGTTTGTCACGGACTC